CCTGAGGGAAAGAGATGAAGAGCTGAAGGGGGTCAATGGTCGTATCGCTGAACTCGAGGACCTGGTTATCCCTGTCGAGGATGAATCTGAAGAGGAGTGGTTGGTTCCATCTAGGAAATGGTTTGTGGCCAAGGTTTGCCAGCTCGAGGAGGACTTCCTGGGGGATGTTGAAGTGGGCTTTAAGCACGCTGTCGACCAGCTCAAGCTCGACAACCCTGACCTGGTGACCGACAGGATTGGTCCCTTTCATCGGATCCAAGATGGTGTAATAATGGCGCCCGAGGGCTTGGATGACGAGGAAGACAACCAAGTTGTCCGTGAGGAGGAGGAACCTGTAGAGTAGGAATGATGGCATGCGTGCCCCTTTATTTTTCATCCAGCCTGCGTGCCTGGTAGTTTTCGGCTTGCGTCCCATGTTTTACTTGATTTGGGGCTTGTGCCCGTATATTGTAACAATTTGACTTCTGGGTTAGTGCTCGTTTATGGATTTTCTCGTTTTATTTTCTAAGTATGGGTGTGTGCTCGACTATGTTTGCATGGTTTATATTTTTGTTCGCATTGTTATGCTCTCTCGTGCATTTGTTTATGCTTGATGTATGTTTTTGCTAAGTTGGGAGTCATAACTCGACATTTGTTGTGCCCAGGAGTGTAGGGAACTGGCCGGTTGACCGGGGTGGTTTCCTGGTTAGTTACGAGGGTGGACCACGGTCGTGGACCATCCCCCGCAGCGTGAACGTCCCATCGCGAGCTGGGGTTCTGCCGAACTTGGTACAGCAGCGTTGACTCTCGGTCGAGGGGTTGCCGCCAAGTATAGCACCCTGCGCGCACATACACAAAGGGCAGGGGCTTGCTATTTCGTTGATCTCGGGGAGACGCGGTCGTACCACGTCGTGATCCCGTGGTCGCGAAGGAGGCTTTCACGGGCAGTGTTTAACTGTAGTATTTTTTAGCTTTTCAGCGTTCCATGGTTGAGCTATCTGATCCCCGTGTAGGTTTTCGAGGTATTAGACCTCGTGTTCCGTCTTATCCAGGACACGGTATAGGCCTTCCCAATTCGTGGTGAGTTTGCCCTCGTGTGAATCCTTTTGGTTTCTTCGTAGGACCAGGTCGCCGACCTGGAACTCGCATTTTAGGACTTTGTTATCGTAGTGAAGGGAGACTTTTTGCTTTAGCGTAGCCTCGCGGATAGCTGCTCTTGATCGAATCTCCTCGACTAGGTCGAGCACCTCCAGGAGAGCCTTATCGTTAGTCTCCTCCTCGAGGGGAGTCTCAGTCCTTCTGGACGACTCTCTTATCTCCACCGGGATCACCGCCTCGGTTCCGTATATAAGGCGATATAGGGTTTCCCCGGTGGTCAAGTGGGGCGTCGTTTGGTATGCCCAGAGCATGTTGTGGAGTTCCTCGACCCATCATTTCTTGGCATCGCCGAGTCTTCGCTTCAGTCCTCGGAGGATCACTCTGTTCGCGACCTCGGCTTGGTTATTTGTTTATGGATGCTCGACCTAAGTGAAGTGGTGTTTGGTCCCGAGTTTGGTGACGAAGTCTCGGAAGTTTCTGTCCATAAATTGTGTCCCGTTGTTGGTGAATATGGCGAGCGGGACACCGAATCTGGCGAGGATGTTCCTCTTGTAGAAACAGAGTATGTTGTGTGTCGTGATTTTGGCGAGGGCTTTGGCCTCGATCCATTTGGTGAAGTAGTCGATACCCACTATCAGGTACTTGTTCTGATATGAGCCTAAGGTGAACGGGACGAGGATATCCATCCCCCACCAGACGAACGGCCACGGGGAGGAGATGGATTTGAGCTCGCTCGGAGGGGCGAGATGCATGTCCCCGTGCCACTGACCCCTGTCTTCTTGACATGTTCTTTCGCGTCCTCCTGCATCGTCGACCAGTAGTATCCTGCCCGTAGGACTTTCCTCGCCAGGGACCGCCCCCCAAGGTGTTGCGCGTTGATGCCTTTGTGAACTGTTAGAACACAGATTGATGTTCAATATATCTCATTGTTTTGATGATAACATTAATGAAATTTTTGTATAGAGAATTTATATACACTAATTTTGTTCAAGTGTTTATTTGTTTCAGATATCAAAATTAATATTATTTTGGAAGCAAGAACGCCTCTGAACATCACAGAATGGAAAAGCTCTGAGCGTCAGAAGCAACACATCAGAACACTCTGATCTGCTACAATGACTCTGAGGGAAGCTAAGAAGAACATGAGCAAAGAACATACATAAAGCTTCAGAAGACTCTGAAAGTACTTAACGTTGCAAGTACAGAAGTTCTGATAAGCAAGTATGCTCTGATAAGGATTTCACGCTTAAAGCGCTTTGCTGCAAACTCTGATAGAGAAACTCTGATTGAGTTAACTCTGACCTGAACAACTAAGAACATCATCAGAAGTTCTGATGCAAGACGTTCCAAAGTTGTTGAAGAAGATGTTGTTCAAATAAAGATACGTTAGTATATTCCTTGTCTTATCCTAAACGGCTCTTTTCCCATTCATGCTTGACACAGGATTTCAGACAAAAAAGATTTGTCAGAACATTCCTCTTCTGAGAAAGGAAAAGTCATTAGAAGACAAAAGGATCAGAAGGCACAAATTGCACTGTCTTTGAGAAAAGGATTTCAAAGGACTATAAAAGCAAGTCTAAGCATCACTTCAAAGGTTAACGAACTTCAAACAAATTCTTGGCATATTATTCAACTCTTACAAACGTTCTTCAAAAGCTTGAATAGTTTATTTTTCGTTTTATAACTTGTGTAAAAATCATTGTTGTGATATAGCTTTTTAGAAGCATTTCTTAAACACAAATCTGTTAGTTTATCTTTGTAAAAGATTTTCTTAAGAAGACCAAGTTGTGGTCATAATTTCTTGAGAAGACTAAGACAGTTGTCTTAGTGGTTTATACTGTAATCAAGTTTGATATAGTGGATTAAGTCCTTGTTGAGAAAGGCAAATCACCTTGGTATGGTGGACTGGATTAGTTTGAGTTCAAACGAACCAGGATAAAAATACTGTGTTATTTTTCTATCATCCAAATTGTTTTAAAACCCTTATTCAACCCCCCTTTTAAGTGTTTTTCTCACCTTCAGTTGGCATCAGAGTTCTGGTTCTGTAAGTGCTCTCACTTAACCGTGACAGAAAAAGATCCTGTTGGGAAAAACTCTTAATCTATTGTTCTTTATTCATCATGGATGCTGAAGCTTCAACTTCATACAACAACAAATACGATGATAGAGACAAAATAAACACCAAACCTCCCATGTTTGATGGTGAGAAGTTTGATTACTGGAAAAATAGAATATAAAGTTTCTTTCTAGGCTATGACGCTGACTTATGGGATTTGGTTACTGATGGTTATATTCATCCTATAAATGCTGAAGGCAAAAAGGTTGACAGAAAGTCTATGTCTGATCAATAGAAGAAGGAGTTTAGAAACCATCACAAGGCAAGAACCATTTTATTAAATGCAATATCTCATACTGAGTATGAGAAAATAACAAATAGAGATACTGCATTTGATATGTTTGAATCTCTAAAATGACGCATGAAGGAAACTCCCAAGTAAAGGAGACAAAAGCCTTGGCGCTCATTCAGAAATACGAGGCCTTTAAGATGGAGGAATCTGAATCTGTAGAAGCTATGTTCTCAAGGTTTCAGATTCTAACTGCTGGTCTGAAGGTTCTGGACAAAGGTTACTCTACTTCCGGTCGGCACATGACCTTTACAGGTCGGCTCATGCAACATATTTTTCCAAAAATTCACAAATTTTTCAATTCTTTTGCATTTCTTTTTCTTCAAAACATACAAACATATAAATACTTCATACATGCATCATTTCTTTTCAATGATTTTGTGAAAATCATAAACGAAATCTGGAACATACAAAGAGTCTTCTTCATCTTCAACCTTAATTTTATGCATACACACAAACAAAGTACACATAATCATTCATTGTTTTGGTGTCATCTAGAATCAAGTTGATAATGTCCAATTTACCTTGTGGTATTGTAAATTAGGTTGAGATCTTTGGGGGGTTTCAAATAAGAAAACTAAGGTGGGGTTTTTCTTCAAGATTAAATTGGGGTTTTGAAGGTTTTGGACAAGATTACACATATTTGAATTCGACCGAGTGAATGATCAGAAGAGTTGCAGTTCTTGCAAAGGAGTAGCGTGAGACGGTGAATCAGATTGATGTTGTTGGATTACGCATATTTTCTTATCACTATCATGGATTGATTTTCATATACGCATATCTGAGATTTTCAATAGTGGTTCAGTTTAGACGAATCGATCCAAGTCACTACCACTAGCCATTGTTTTTAAAACAGTTTTTGTAAAGCAAATTTTTTGAAAATTTATTAATAAATTTAGTTATCAATTAATTTTTACCAAATCACTTCCGGTAAGTATCTATATGACCATTTTTAATAAATTTAGTTATCAATTAATTTTTTAAAAGTTAAAGAAATCAAAATATATCATGATAAAAAATATATATATTCTTTTTTTTTTTTTTTTTGTCGATTCTTGAAACAAGACAGGGTATTTATTTTATAAAAAAACATATAGCATTTTTCTTTATTTTTAGCTTTTGTATTTACTTCTTTGCTTTTTTAAATTTTTTATTAAGTCAGTCAAAATAGATTGTGTTAGTTGACATCATTTGGGAATAATTGGCCAGTGTAGAATTTTCCCTTTGTTGACCACCTACTATAAATCCCACTTTGATCTCACTATAATTTTTGAGCTATCCCTTTTAATCAAAGAGAATAGTTTTATCCACCACATTGAAGTTTTTCAATTCTTTACGCTACAAGCATTTTTTAAAATATTTTTTACATATCCTAAAAATTCAACGCAGATTTTAAATTTTATCAATTTACGAGATAACTAATTGACATTTTAATTAAAAATACTTTAGAGGAAGTAAAACCCATAAAAAATTGCTTATCAAGTTATTTCACATAAGCTTGACTTGGTTTATAAAAGATCATTGAGTATCAAAATTAATAGGCCATGCGTGTCTCATCTCTAATTCAAGGATGTATAGTATCTTAGATATATCATCCATGCAAGAATATGAATTGTTTCCTGATACAAATGCAGTCACCACGTTTCTTATCTCAATCCAACTACAACCAGGAACTTTCTTCACCCCTTGATCCAACATTTCCTTTCTTACTATCTCTGCTTCCTCCCATTTCCCACTTGCACAATACATATTTGACAACAACACATAACCAACCTCTTTTTTAGGTTCTAAGTTCTTTAGATTTTCTCCCATAGAGCTCCCTGTTCGTAAATCTCCATGTGTGTAGCATGCTCCAAGTAGAACCTCACATGAATTGGTCCTATCTTTACTTGTTGAATACTTCTTAGCTAAACTTCGCGCTTCGGCTACATGCCCACCTCGACCGAGCATATCAACCATGCATGCCACATGATCCATTCTTTGAGTAAGTCCAAATTCCAAACTCATTGAATGAAACAAAGCAAAGCCCTCATCTATTAGCCCCAAATGGCTACAAGTCATTAGCAGCCCTGTGAAGGTTACTTCATCAGGTCTTACACCTGATGCCACCATTTCTCTGAACATACATATAGCTTCATTACCCCTTCCGTTTAGTCCAAATGCAAACAACATTGAATTCCAAGAAACCGTGTCCTTCTCACTAATGGCATGAAATGCGAGCCTCGAACCTTCTATGTCTCCACATTTAGCGTACATGTTAATCAGGCTATTGCCAACAAATAAACACTTGTCTAAACCAAGATGAATAATACAAGTGTGAACCATTTTTCCATGAACTAGAATTGCCAAGCTAGCACAAGCATGAAGGACCGCTCCAGCTACTAAATCATCAAGCTGGAAAGAGTTCCTTTTCATGTCTAAAAACAAACTTAAAGCTAAATCTCCATTCCCGTTTCTCGTATACCCAACAATCATAGAAGTCCAAGATACAATATTTTTCTCAGGGGCTTGCTGGAAAGCAAGAAGAGCTTTCTGGGTATCCCCCACTTTCATATGGGCATCAATGATTGCATTCCAAGAAACTTGATTAAAAGCACCACCAGAGTCAAAAACTTTCACAGCATCACCATGACATTCTAATTTAGCATAAAAGCTTACAATTGAGTTATTTACCTCCATAGCAGTGCTCCAACCAGATTTAACCACAAAACAATGAACCATGCATCCGCATAACAATCCCATCGACTCGGCACAAGCGTTCACGAGAGCACTTAAAGTCCACTGGTCTGGCTGATGCAAACTCTCGCGCATATCTTTAAACAAATGCAAACACGCCTCCACTTCACCACAACGAGCATGAGCCGCAATAACTATATTCCAAGCAATTTCAACCTTTTCAGGCATCCCACGAAAAACTTCAAAAGCCATATCAAACCTACAAGAGTTTGCATAAGCAAACAGAAGAGAACACCATGTCACTTCATTACGATAACTCATCTCATCAAACACTTTCCTTGCATCATTTGGATTCAAACACTTGCCATACATATCTACAAGGGAGTTAGCCACAGGAAGAGAAGACTGGTACCCTGAAACAACAACCAAAGCATGAAGTTTTGTTCCAAAACGAAGATCAGATGCACCAGCACACGAATTTATGGCTGCAGAGTATGAGAAGTTATCGGGTTTGGAATCGGAGATTCTCATGCTATCGAAGAGAGTGAGAGTTTGATGGTAAAGTCCAAGGCGGGAATAGGCGGTCAACATAGCATTCCAAGCCACTGAATCTCGTTCCGGCATTTCATCGAATAGTTTGCGTGCGTGAATAATTCTGCCGGAACGTGATAATGAGACGATTTCAGATGTAGCGCGGAACAAATAAGAACGCATTGCATTGTTTCAGGGTTTGTTAATCAATTTTTGTATCTCACAGCTTGATTAGAAATTCAATCTTCAATTTCTTAAGTTTACTACTGAACACGGTGTTTTCTTCCGGGTGTCATTTTTAAAGGTTCCAATCCAATAATACTTAATTACACACTTAAATTTAATAATAATATTTAAATTGTTTTTGTTTATATCATTTTTTCAAAAACTGTTTATCATCTTTAATTCTAAAATCTCTCACATAAACATCAATGAATATATGATCAAACAAAATGAATAATTAAAATTTTAATTACAGAAATTTGTATTAATATTCTATAATATAGGTTAATGAATATGCGTTTTATGAGATTATTTTTTGTGTTTTATTGAATTCGTATTAATCTTTTTTTTTTTATCTGCATCATTTGTGCAAATTATAATTAAAATTTTATACTTTAGATATGTTAGTGCAACTATAACTTATTTACTCTACAAACATGCAGTTATACGAATGATTGGTAAAGATGATGGTCTTCTAATAGATGTTTAAAAATCCTATAGTTCATCATCTGATATTGAGTCATTGATTCATTAGTTATACTGTTAGATTATTGACCGAACTCTGTGATTAGATTGGATTAAATGAAAATGGATCTTTATAACAAAATTGTAATTATTAAACGAGCCTTGTACAAATTTGTTTGGTCAACTCGGCTAACTCCACTGCCGACATCCTGTGCGGAGCCATAAAAATAGGCCTCGTACCAGGAACAAGATCAATGCTAAATTCAACCTCTCTCTTCGGAGGCAACTCTGTAATATCATCCGGGAACACCTCCGGAAACTCATTCACCACAGCTAACTCATCCAACAATACCTTGTTGTCAACAGACAGTGATGCAAATAAAACAAACATCTGCCCTTCATCTTCCAACAAGGTCCTCAATTCCTTACCAGACAAGGAATCTGCCAACGCTTCCTCTTCAGGAGTCAAAAACAATAACACTTTCCGAAAACAATCGATGTACACTCGGTTGAACTCCAACCAGTTCATACCAAGTATAGCATCCAAACCACCAAGTGGCAAACAGATCAAATCCACACCGAAGTCTCGGCCAAAGATAGTCAGTGGACACTTCAAACACACTAGCAAAGTAGTCACTGAACCAATCGAGGGAGTTTCAATAGTCATTTGTTGCTCAAGAGTAGTCGGCACCAAACCTAACCTCTTCACACAATCAACAGAGATAAACAAGTGGGTTGCACCCGTATCAATCATAGCAGTCAAAGGAATGTTATTGATAAAACAAGTACCTTTGATCGAACGTTCTCCGTCTTCCGCTTGAGTTCCCACAACTGCAAATACTTTACCCGCCACCTGAGGCGCCTGAGGCCTCCTCGGCTTCTCACAATGAGTACTAATGTGGCCCTTCTCGCCACAGTTATAACAAGTAGGCATATTAGTCCTACAATCCGCCATCACATGGCCCGACTTCCCACACTTGAAGCACTTCTTCGCATCAGGAGGACAATCATTGGCACGATGACCCATGCCACCGCACCGGAAACACTTCGTACCAGTCAACGCCCTACCCTCTCTGGGCTTCCTATAAACAGCACCCTTGAACTTCCCCTTACCAGTCGGAACACTGTAAGGCGTATCACCGAACCTTTGCTTACCCTTACGATCACTTGTCGCCTTGTAGTGTGCGATCCTCGCACGATTATCGTTATCATAGATACGACTCCTACTCACCAACTCAGGATAGCTCCTGATTTTCTGACATGCGATCCCCATCTTGATCTCTGGCCTCAGCCCATTCTCAAATTTCAGACACTTCGAAGTCATAGCTTCCTCAGTATTGTAATGAGGGCAATACTGAGCCAGCTCCTCAAACTTCCGCATACTCGGCTACCGACATACTGCCCTGTTTCAATTCCAAAAATTCCACCTCTTTAGCACTTCTGACATCTTCTGGAAAATACTTCTCCAAAAATCCAGACCGAACCACCTCCCAAGTAATCGGAGTCCCCGAAGCTTCCATCCTCTGACGGCAATTATCCCACCAAGCCTCGGCCTCCCCCTCGAGCATGTGAGTACCGAACCTCACCTTTTGCTCGTCACTGCACCCCATGGTCCTGAAGATCTTCTCAATTGCCTTCAGCCATTTCTGTGGAGCTACCGGATCCAGAATTCCACCTTCAAACTTTGGTGGCTTGTTGCTCTGGAACTGCGCCAAGTCTCTAAACTGAGCTCCCGCAGCCAGATTCTGGTTGGCCACCACTTGTGCCATAGCCTGCATCGCCGCAGCCAACGCCGCGTCATTTCTCCCAGCCATTCTGCTAAACAACAATCCAGGTTAACAGAAAACAAGCAACTATATCCTATAGACAGACTCAACACATTACACTGGCCGGACGGACCGACCTGCTCTGATACTAACTTGTAAAACAATCAAATAAAACACATATCAGAGTTTCTCTCCCAAACGGGATGCCACAATATACATCAAAATTTCCACAAATATTTTTCCAACTAATTTAACTGAATTTTTCAATAAAATTGCAGCGGAAAAAGATATGGTATGTCATAACACAAATATCATATATATATATATATATATATATATATATATATATATATATATATATATATATATATATATATATATATATATATATATATATATATATATATATATATATATATATATATATATATATATATATATATATATATATATATATATATATATATATATATATATACACATCACCCATATCCATCATCATCATGTATACAATAACGGCCATCTGCCCCAAAATACACAACATCATCACCGAACATCACCAAATATCTCACAAAATATCAGATACGCCACGGGGGCACACATATCAAAAATACACAATAAATACACCCAAAAACTTCCCGGTGTTACATATCAGAGCAGTCCTACGGAGACACCACAATCCAACTAGCTAAACACCTGGATTGTCTGTACTTCTGAAGAAGCATAGACCACAACAGTAACAAAAGGGGTGAGAATTACGATCAAATAATAATGACATAATAATACATGAAATAAAAGGCAGAAATCAGTAATAATACTATTTCATATACATATCATCCGGACTCACGGTTCCACCATCAACCACAATATACAATCACGCAACAAATGCACTCACGCAACTCTTAACATACGGTACCGACTCACAATCACGATGGGCACCGGGTCATTAACCCTCCTCACAGGAGCACATATCAACGATGGGCACTTGGCCATCAACCCTCCACTCAGGGAGCACACCACACTGATGGGCAACTGGCCATCAACCCTCCACAATGGGAGCACTACAACAATACCGATGGACACCTGGCCATCACCCTCCACAACGGGAGCACATCTCCGATTGACACCTAGCCATCACCCTCCACTACGGGAGCACCTCATCAACATCGATGGACACATGGCCATCACCCTCCTCACCGGGAGCACAACACATTAACATCGATGGACGCATTGCCATCACCCTCATCACCGGGAGCACACCAACAATACCGATGGTCACTGGGCCATCACCCTCCACTACGGGAGCACAACAAGTAATGTCGATGGACAATTGGCCATCACCCTCCTCTACGGGAGCACACAGCGATGTTCACACGCATCAAACATCTAGCACACCAAGTGCACACCGATCCTATTGATTCATCCCTCACACAACATATACACGACGCACAAGGCGTACCGATCTCACAGATCCATTCACATCATAAAATACATACATAACAAGCACACACAGTGCATCGATCTCACAGATCCGCTCCCCACACAACTTATCACATACAATGCATACAAGGCATGTCGGTCCTACTGACCCAATACATCACATAACAACACACAAATGCAACGCATATTAAGCGTATCGATCCTCACGGATCCACTCACCACAACACACCAACAAAACGCACTCAAGGCGCCACGATCATACTGATCCTCACATCTCACACACAGCACACACACGATGCACACATCTCATGTATGCATCCACACCGGTTCATACCTAATGCGTAATCCAACAATTATGCCGCTTGCGATAAACGCCGGACAAACAGCCCTACAACCACCAACATACACTCGCATCAGCATCTCCAGCAAGCCTCTCGTCGCACATGACCAACGGGGGTCCAAGTCCACAGAGGAACAACACAAGACAGCAGGAAAAACACAAACTCCTGTCGGGCTCGCTGGCGCATTCGCCCGGCGAAGCCCCGCAGTGAACACTCGCTGCCATTCGCCTGGCGAAACCTCTGGTGAAGCCAGACAGAAGCTTCTGCCAGCACTCGCTGGCTAGTTCGCCTGGCGAAGGCTTGCCCCTCATTAGCCCAGCGAATACCTGCGTACTCAGAAAAATTCTGCGCACCAGAATCATCATCCACTCCTGATTCCGCCCGATTAAATCGACAACTCACAACTAACCACATACTATAACTGAGCTATGGGTCCATTCCCGATTCTATCCGATAAAACGCATCATCTGCTCAAATTACTGACTTCCGGCATAACTCCGAAACTACTCAAAAACCCCAATTTCATTCAACCCAATATTCTCAGCACATGCAAACGAATTTAACATAATCTAACAACTTAATCTCAGCAATAATCACATGCATTCATCATCAAACAATAATAATCAATGGGGTTGGGGATTTTCCCCCGTTTCTACCGATTTCATGCAAAAACCAATTAACCGTAAAATCCCCCCCCCTTACCTCAAATCAAGCTTTGATGACGAACAAGCTCCTCAATCCACACGAAATTTGCTTGCTTAAGTTGCCGTTCTTGATCGTGTAGCTCTCCTCTTGCTCAAACCGTGTTCTTCACCGTGCGTGTGTTCTCCTCTTCTTTCCAATTCTAATTCTCACCAAAAATGACAATGTTGCCCTTAGTCTCAACAGTCCTCTTATTAATTCAAATAACTCATTCTAATCCAAATAATGATATTCCTCACAATTTCTT